CACCACCACGCCCAGCTAATGCTTATTGTTTTTTGTTTGTTTGTTTTTGTTGTTTTGTGTTTTTTGAGATGGAGTCTCACTCTTGTTGCCCAGACTGGAGTGCAATGGCGTGATATCAGCTCCCTGCCTCCCGGGTTCAAGCGAGTCTCCTGTCTCAGCCTCCTAAGTAGTTGGGATTACAGGTGCCCGCCATCACGCCCAACTAATTTTTTGTATTTTTAGTAGAGACAGGATTTCTCTATGTTGGCCATGCTGGTCTTGAACTTTTGACCTCAAGCAATCCACCTGCCTTGGCCTCCCAAAGTGCTGGGATTACAGGCGTGAACCACCTGTGCCCAGCCCAAAAGTTACAATTTTATCCTTAACAGTCTGTTTCTGAAGTCTATGCTCTTAACAAGGTAACCCCCATTTTCTCTCCTAAAAAGTCTCAACGGAGGGAGAAGTTGCCAACAAATATATAGCAGATCTTGCCCTAGAGTCTCCTGAAACAAAAGGTAGACTGAGTCTAAATAAAGCTCTAGCCCAGTCCAGCCTAGCTCAATTCCTGATTGAACTGAGGTGGTCAGCCCATTATCCTATCTGCCTAAAAGAGGAAAAGGAGACTTCTCACTGAAAGATGACATTGCTTCATCCCTATGGTTCTTTTCTATACAATGTCCGGAATATAATAAAAAAAACTACAAGTGATGAGGCAGGAAAATGTGATGGATAAAAGAGAAAAAGAGAGAACAGAAGCAGATACATAGATGATCAAACCTGGGAGTCAGCAAACAGAAACTTTTAAAATTAGAAGAAAAGTTGAGCAAAAATGAGACAAAAGATGGATAATTTCGATAGGGAATTGGGATCTACCAAAAAATCAAATGGATATTTTACAATGGAAGAAAACCCCCAATATCTGAAATTAAGAACTCAATGGACTGGGTACGGTGGCTCACGCCTGTAATCCCAGCACTTTGGGAGGCCGAGGTGAGTGGATCACCTGAGGTTGGGAGTTTGAGACCAGCCTGACCAACATGAAGAAACCCTGTCTCTATTAAAAATACAAAAAAATTAGCCAGGCATGGTGGTGCATGCCTATAATGCCAGCTACTTGGGAGGCTGAGGCAGGAGAATCGCTTAAACCCAGGAGGTGGAGGTTGTGGTGAGCTGAGATCGCGCCAGTGCACTCCAGCCTGGGCAACAAGAGTGAAACTCCATCTAAAATAATAATAATAATAATAATAAAAATAAATAACTCAGTGGATGAGGTCAACAGGACACTCAGCACAACAGAAGCCATAAGTGGTGAACTCACAGTGAATGAAAAATTTCCGTATTAAATTACAGAGAGGAAAGAATGAAAAAAAAAACAGAACAGGGTATAACAGATGTGTGATGTGATCAAAAGGCCTAATATACATGTAATTGGAGTCCCAGGAGAGAAGAGTGAAAGTGAGGCAGAAAAAGAGAGAATGGCTGAGAATTTCCCCAAACTGATGAAAGGCATCAACCCACAAATCCCAATTTTGTGCTTCCAACTACTATTATGCTGCACCAACAATGCCTATAAGTGTTTGTTGAAAATGAGCGAATCAATTAACTCCAATCATTTTCTTACCTGGATGTTCCCCACTTTCTGCTCTTAGAAAATAATAAATGGTACAATAATATCTCCCATCTATTGTAGGCTGAAAATATATCAGTACTACAGCCCCCTACATTTTCACATAACCTTATGAGGTAGTTGGTGTTATTACTGTTCCCATTACAGGGGAGAAACCTAAGTCTCAGAGAGGTTATGACTTGACTAGTCTGTCCCAGTGCTTTCAACTTCTCTGCTAATCCTAATGCCTATACTCGTACCCCTGACTGTGTTCTCCCACCTTTCCTATCCTGTGCCTTCTGTGACCAAGTCCCTGGATCATGTGACCACATTCTCCCCTGGCCCACTGACCAGCAAAGTCATGCAGCCGTGGCAAGGTGTCCCGTGCAATCGATAGCAGTGGCAGGTACAGCTCGGCCACACGAGCCTTCACAGTGGCCTCGGCGTAGCGGGGGTCAGTGTCATGGCTGCATAGCAGGCTGTGCACAGCACTGATGGCCTTCTTGTGCAACAGGGATGCCCTATGGGATAATGGAGTGCTCAGGACAGGATGGATATGGCTCCTGGACTGTCCCACCTTCTCTGAGTCTAGACAGGGCCTCTGCTCACCCCTCAGCCTCAGGCTCAAGGGCCAGCGCCAGCTCCGTCAGCAGGAGCCCAGCTAGGAAGTGCTGCTGCCGGAATGGTCCACTCAGTTCGAACATGCTGGTCACCTTGGGGTCCGGGGCTTGGCTGGAGAAGGTGGAACTCTGCAGAGAGTGGGGGGAAAATAGGGGATGCCAAAAGTCAAGGGTCAGAGGTGACAGGTCACCATTAAAGCCATCTGAGAGGTGATAGAAATCATGGTGCCACTAGCCACAGATGGGAAACTGAGGTCAAGTCATCTGGAGGTGACAGTGGATATGGGTTTCAAGGCTAGAGGTGAGAGGCTGAGGTTAACCCATCTGTGATGTAATAGGGAATGGGGTCAAAAGTCAGAGGACTTAGAAATGGCAGATCGAACACTGGGCTGGGAGTTAGGATTTCGGGGAGAGAAACCAGAAGTTAGTCCTTCTGGTTCTTTTAATTAGAAGAAAAAAAATTAAAAAGGTCCTTTCGGGAAATTGCTGAGAATGACAGGAGAGGTGAAGGGTTAGAGGTAAAAAGTCAAACATGGGCCGGGCACGTTGGCTCACGCCCGTAATCCCAGCACTTTGGGAGGACGAGGCAGGTGGATCACAAGGTCAGGAGTTTGAGACCATCCTGGCCAAGAGAGTGAAACCCCATCTCTGCTAAAAATACAAAAATTAGCTGGGTGTGGTGGCATGCGCCTGTAGTCCCAGCTACTGGGGAAGCTGAGCAGGAAAATCGCTTGAGCCTAGGAGGTGGCCGAGATCATGCCACTGCACTCCAGCCTGGTGACAGAGTGAGACTCCATCTCAAAAAAAAGGAAAAAAAAAAGTCAAACATAAGGAATCAGTTAACCTAGGCAATGGCCCACTGTGAAAGGGACGGAAATGAGGGAACCCTTGAGATGGACTGAAGGTGAGAGGTGGTAGGTCAAAGACGCCAGCCTACCTGGGAGGTGGTAGAGGACACAGAGGGGGAGGGCGAGGCTGGGGGCGACAGGGGGCAGCAGGGGAGGTTGAGGGTGACGTAGTGCTCGTGGCTGCACAGGATGCGGGTGAATTCCATGCGCAGGGTCAGCAGAGCGGCTGGATTGGGGGATGACTGAAGCCGCGTGGCCACCTGTAGGAGAGGGGCGGGCAGCAGTGATGTCAACATTGCCCCACCCACCATCCACGCCACACCCACCCCGCCCTGCCCCGCCCACTCCTACCTGCTTGTAGTGGCCCCGGACCAGGTTGAAGATGAAGCCTCGGTCCACCAGGGACAGAAGGTCACTGAGGAAGAAGGCCAGGCTGGCGTTGAGGCGCTCGGCCAGCTCCACATCCTGGGGACACAGGGACCCGTCAACTCACAAATCCACACCTCCTCCCCAAACCTCAGCCCCACAGGGGCTTGGCTCTTACAGCAAGATCCTCTGGCCCCCTCTAATCCAGACTTCAGAGCTGGGGAGAGACTACATTACCTAGCCTCCCTTGCGGTGGAACCACATGAACAATTCTGGCCAATGGGATTTGAGGGGAAAGTGAGGCGGCCACTTATAGGGCAGAAGCACGTGGGTGCCGGTGAACTGCCAGGGCCAGGCCCACACCGTGACACCTCCACAACCTTCTTAATGCTCAGAAATAAGCTTTGGTTATTTAAATCACTTGTGACTGTTGAAGCAAATCAGCCTTTGCCCTAACTGATCCGCTCTCAGCATCATTTATTTTTTATTTTTATTTTATTGTATTATTTATTTTGAGACGAGTCTTGCTCTTGTCGTCCAGGGTGAAATGCAATGGCACGATCTTGGTTGTGAGTTCGAAACCAGCCTGGCCAATACGGTGAAACCCCGTCTCTACTAAAAATATAAAAATCTGCCGGGTGTGGTGGTGCATGCCTGTAGTCCCAGCTACTCAGGAGGCTGAGGCAGGAGAACTGCTTGAACCCGGAAGGTGTAGGTTGCAGTGAGCTGAGATCGTGCCACTGCACTCTAGCCTGGGCAACAGAGCAAAACTCCATCTCAAAA